CGATGGCCTCCAACCTACTAGCGATGGCCTCCAACCTACTAGCGATGGCCTCCAACCTACTAGCGATGGCCTCCAACCTACTAGCGGTGGGTTCCAACCAACCTACTAGCGATGGCCTCCAACCTACTAGCGATGGCCTCCAACGTACTATAGCGATGGCCTCCAATGTACTATAGGGATGGCCTCCAACCTACTATAGCGATGGCCTCCAATCTACTAGCTTTGGCCTCCAACCTACGAGCAATGGACTCCAACCAATGGACTCCAACCTACTAGCGATGGCCTCCAACCCAAATAGGGATGGCCTCCAACCTAATAGCGATGGCCTCCACCCCAGTATCAAGGGGAAGGAAAGATGCATGAAGTTCTTTTGATTTCTGTCTCCACAAGGGAGATGAAGGCGAACTTCTCACTATGAGACTGCTCAACAACCTTTTTGTGCTCGATTTCCAAGCCAGCCAGGTTTCAAATTTCTACCATTTTCCTTGCTCACCCTCTTTGTTTGCCAAGGCAGTTGCAAGCCAAGCTGCAACAAGAACTTGAGGACCGCTTTTCATTTGGACACCAAACGATGCATTTTTCTGTGCAAGAAACTTGTTGCTCTTGTTTTCTCGAACCGAAGCGGTTCATTTTTCTTCACGAAATTCTTCTTTTGCTCCAGGAGCACTTGAGAAAGGTTTGCGCGCCTGGGTCCCTGCAATCGGGTGGCAGTGAGGCAATGGCTGAAGCAAAGCGGGTGATGAAACGTATGGAGGCAGGACAGCCATGGAGTCACCTTTCGGACCTCCAACCTAGAAGCGATGGCCTCCAAGTAATGGCAAAAGGAACCTAATAGCCATGGACGGCAATGGATCAAGCTGAACAACGAGATTTCCGAAGACTTGAATAACCCATGAGAAAACCGTGATTTATGCTTGAGCTCTTTTGACCCAGTCTGCAGCGAAATTTTTCAGAATTGACAAAACAGACACCTCCAGGGCGTCGTACTCTCTTTTTTAGGCCTCGGGACCTAGGGATTCGTTTTCTGAGCTTCAGATGAGTTTGCTGGCGACAGTCCTGTTTATGCGGCTGTGGCTGTGGCTGTATGCTGCTGCTTTGCATTCTGCTCGTGTCAAGCGTCAACGGTTCAATTATTGAACTAAACGACGACTTCATGTTTCGATTTAACTGAGCATGGATCATTGGTGCATGCGCTTTGTCTACAATTCTACAAGCTTTCTTTGTTGGTGTCGTTTTGCGTAACAGCCAACCATGACAATACAAAATGAATGTGGCAACAAAGAGGTACGCAACAAGTTGACCCGTAACACCTCCTGTACAGATCGCATTTCTGGCAAGTAGAAAGTGTCAGACACCGTCGCCATTTGGGCCCAGCCTTTGTCAACTCCCGATTGACCCAATGCAGCCGAACTCCCAATCAACTCCTCGACTCTCCATCTCTTGTCCCGTGCATTCTTTCTCCTCACAAAATCTTACGAAAATGACTCAAGCTGATCCATTTCTTTCCGACTACTTGTAGTAACTAGAAGCTACTAGGTGGAGGCCATCGCTAGTAGGTTGGAGGCCATTACTACTAGTAACAAGACGCTACTAGTAACAAGTGCATCATTTCGTTCCCGTTTTATGGTTCTTCGGAGCTCTTTTTATCAGGATGCCTGCGAGCCAAGCTGCAGTGAGGAGTGCCAAAGTGCACGCCTGGAGCTCAACAGCGTGGAGAAGCGCTTTGAAGAGCAGCTTTTGAGGCAGAAGAAGCAGGCAGAGAAGCAGAGGGGCAGCTTTCTTGTTGCCTCACGCTTGCAGCTGTTTTGCAGCTTTACAGTGTGAGACTTGTGTTGGAGTTGAAGAGTGTAGATTTGAGTGGTCAAACATGCCTGAAATTGAACCAATCTGTCGATTTGTGCTTCACCTTACGATCTTCAGTTTTTTTCTTTGTGTGGCAGGTGGATGCAAAAGAGAAGCACTCCCCTCAGAGTTAGTGCTGTTCCTTGAGAAACTTTGGTTGTGAGTCTGAAGTGTTTGACGCAGAAGTGCAGCACAGAAGTGCTTGCAGCTGTCCAAGGTTGAAGCACTCCCATACGAGTGGAGACCCCGACTGTTTGGAAGGTGCTTTGCAGGAAGCGCAAGACCATGGGTTGGAGGAGGAGCACTTGCTGCCTGCGCAGGCAAGGAGCTCGGAGAGGAACTCCCAACTCAGCCCAGACGGATCAAACTGTCCGTGGGAGAGCGTTCAAACTTGTCACATCAGCTACTAGTAGCTACTAGTAACTAGAAGACTAGATGCTACTAAGTGAAGGCCATCGCTAGTAGGTGGGCCATTACTACTAGCAACAAGAAGCTACTAGTAACAAAGGGCATCGCTACTAGTAACAAGTGCCTTACTAGTAGTAACAAGGACGCTACTAGGGGCTCCTGGCCTTACTACTAGGAGCAAGGACGCTACTAGGAACAAGTGCATCGCTACTAGTAACAAGTGCCTTACTAGTAGTAACAAGAAGCTATTAAATTTGCTTTAATTTTAATTCTACTAGCTTCTTGTTACTACTAGTAAGGCACCTGTTACTACTAGCGTGGCACCTGTTACTAGCATTCTTTCACGTCCTGACGGAGATCAAGTAGCAGCTACGTCGGTCTGTCTGAGGCACGTTTACGAGAACTTCGGACAGCTGAACGACAGGTGCAGAAGGCCATCGAGACTGCTGACAGGTGGGAAGTGGATTCCGCCAAATAGCACACGGAAGAAGAAAGAAGAGGCAAAGAACAATAAATCCTATTTGTTGAGATGAGATGATTCGGAAAGTGAGGCAACTAAGGGACATCATTATTCGGTTGAAATTTGATGAGAAGTAGCTTAAGTAGGTAGGAGCTTTCTTTTACTTAATCAAGTAGGTAGTCTCTTACTTCATTAAGTAAGGAGGCAAGGTAGGAGGCCATTGCTATATTGTGTCTAATGATTGTGTCTATATGCTTAACCTTTAACCGAAAGGAAGCTACTAGTAGCGATGCCCTTGTTACTAGTAGCTTCTAGTTACTAGTAGTAATGCCCTTGTTACTAGTAGCTTCTTGCTCCTAGTAGCGATGCCAGGAGCCCCTAGTAGCTTTTTGTTCCTAGTAGTGCTTGCTCCTACAATTAAACGGTCAATGGAATCATTTATCTTAACTTAGGATCGTTTGACCGAGTATTTCCTAAAGTTTCCAGTCTGGGGGGAGTCAAGTTCAAGACCGAAACCTAAGGCTATTGGCTCGTGTTCTTTCGTTTGGTTCCAGGAACGCTTCAGAACGCTTTCGGCTTACGCCTATACAGGATGTGCATGTTTTCTATATTTTTTGCTTGGTGACCACTTGCATCGGCTGCCTTGGAAGACATGAGTCTGGAAAAGGATTATTGATTCTTTGCTGTGAGTGGCTGACAAGAAGGGTAGGTGCTTCTTTATGAGAACCATTTTCTTCTTCATTTTACTCTCTTCTTCTTCGTTTCTTCTGTTCAGGGTGCACCTGACTGCAGCGGTGGAAGAAGCTGGGCGTCAAGGTCTCAAGACAGCCCTGGTGGACGAGGCTGGAGAAGTTTTTTCAAAAAGGGCACCTTAATGGGATTTGCTCTTTAGCGATGCTCCAAGGCTAAGAGCGATGGCCTCCAACCTACTAGCGATGGCCTCCGACCTAAGAGCGACGGCCTCCAAGAACAAAGAAGAGTTTTTGGGCACCTTAAGAAGGGCCACGATAGTTCTACAACAATAGGATGTACTGGTACATAATCTTTACCAGTATGTGGTGCACGTGTTTGGTATATGATTTTGTGTATATATATATATATGTGTTTATACACGTGCTTTTTGCAGTCAACAAGGCGAGTCAAAGATTTGCATTTCCGGACTGGAAAAAGACGCCCTTTCTTTACAACTTCTTGCTTTGTTTTTTAGGTAATTGAACTTAACTTTGCTTTTGTGAGCAAGTACAGTTGCACTTTTGGAAAGGTCCGAGGGCCTTTCATTTCCAAAGAAAAGCGACGTCTCCAGGCCTTGCAGAAGCTGCAAAGCTCCAAAACTGGAAATCTCATTGCAGCCATCCGAGAGCGTCACTTGGAGCTGACAGATCGCGCAGAATTCGCATCTTTGACTGTATACCCCAAGGAATTGCAAAGACTTCTTGAGGGGTTAGGTAGTGTTAGGTCTAGGATGACCTGTGGCTATGCGTTAATCCTTTCTTGAAAAAACCCTGCAAAGCAGGTTCAGATCTGGAATTCTTATACAACACTGCTCTGCGACTGGCGATCTTAGGTCAATGGCAAACAAGCTTACCGCAGGTTTACCACCACTATATAATTACTCACGACCCTGGATAGACCTTGACGCTGTGATCACAGGGCCTGGAAGTAGCTTCTAGATTTCTTGTTCCTAGTAGCAATGGCCTCCACTTAGTAGCGTCCTTGCTCCTAGTAGCGATGCCCTTTGCTCCTAGTAGCTTCTTGATCCTAGCAGTAATGCCAGGAGCTACTAGTAGCTTCTTGCTTATGATAGTAAGATGCCTTGTTACTAGTAGCTTCTAGCTACTACTGTGATCAACGAACAAGCTTGTTCCAAACATGGTGTTGGCAACCAAGCTCAAGCCATGCTGCCATGCTAAAGCTTCCCCTACCACAATGCGCAATACACTAACGTTTCTGGTTTTTGAAACAAGAAAAGTGAAATTCTGATGCCCAAACTTGGCTGAACGCATTCTTTTGGAGTCTTTTACACACAGTTTCAATTTGAATTCTCTGAGAGAGAATATAGCATCTCTTCTAGGTTGGAGGCCATTCCTATTTTTTAAATATCATCATCTCTTCTCGCCGCCTTCTTCGCCCCTCAGGCGACTACCACGGCTTGAAAAACGCCATCGCTGAGGCCGAGAGCCGTAAGCCTCATGAGGTGGCAGAGGTGGCCGACGTAGCCTGTCGAGAAAAGATACCTTCGTGGGTTCAGTAGCGTCCTTGCTCCTAGTAGTAAGTCCAGGAGCCCCTAGTAGGGTCCTTGCTCCTAATATTAAGACCTTGACACTTTCAGACCTTTCATGTTTTTATGCTGTTTTTTGAATGAGAAAGAAGAAGCACACAAATGGAAACGATACATGGTAGAAGGTGTTCCTTCCTACTCTATCACATTGAGGAGAGAATACCGAAGACATGAAGGAAACAATTTTATAAACATGACCAAGAATGGCAATAAGATGCCTGATGGCTAGGCTAGATGGAATGGTGAGAGCATAGGCTTTGAACGCATCCTTTTGTCTGATCTATAGTGTGTGGAAACGTGCACACAACGTGTGGAACCTTGTAGAAGTGGTCGACTGGGATACTGACGGTTCAATATTGTCCACATTAGCCTGAAAGTCACTTCCTTTAAGCGACTTAATCATAAACTTGCTATTGGCATGAAAACAAACACCAGAAAAGATTCGCCAGCAAGAACATAGAGAATTCGGGGAGTCTTTACACATCATTTCTCTGTTTCTCTGTTCTTTGAACCTTCAAACTTTTCTTTTTGTCATATTTTTTTCTGTCATGCTTGCTATCACTTTGGAAGCCAATAAGCAAAGACAGATTGAAGAAAGAAGGGAAAAAGGCAGCAAGAAGAAAGACACATGGCGATATGTTTAAAGGTTTGCAGAACATGGACAACATTGAACAAAAGAAGAACAGACAACATCAACAAACATGGTTTAACTTGTTTCAGTGATCAACATAAACAGGGTCGAAGACTATGCTGCTGGCAACAAGGACAGGAAGGTCCATTCTGGAAAAACTCTTTCAATACTTTAGAGGAAGCTCAACATGTCAAACACGTCAAACATTTTGAGGCCATCGCTTCTATGTTGGAGGCCATCGCTAGTAGGTTGGAGGCCATGGGTTGGAGGCCATCGCTAGTCGGTTGGAGGCCAACGCTAGTAGGTTGGAGGCCATCGCTAGTAGGTTGGAGGCCATCGCTTCAGGGTTGGTGGCCGTTCCCTCTTGACATCAAAGTTATTTTTTACAATTCTAATGAATTTTCTAATTCTAATTCTATTGCAAACATTGTTCCTAGTAGTACGGCCAGGAGCCCCTAGTAGCCTCCTTGCTCCTAGTAGCGCTGCCCTTTGCTCCTAGAAGCGTCCGCTCCTACCATCATCGATCTCAAGGACAAGGATAGATCAAACCGTGATCAAACCGTATGACAGTGATCTGGAACTATTACCGTGTAGAATACACTGTATGTGCTACCGTGATTTACAGTGATCTGGAACTGAGGTGCTCTCTCAGGCCAAGGATGTGCATGAGACACTGGACACCGTGGCCAAAGATGTCTCAGCTGCTTTGCGAACGATGCTCCCTGGCAGCTTTGGCTTTCCAGCCCTGACTGGGACAGTTGCAAACATGACAGGAAAGAGAAGAAATGGGGTTCTTTAAGAAGGACCCTTATAAAAGGGGCCCTTACCGTTACCTTCTTGTTCTTTTCTTCTCTTTGTTTTTCAGCTGAGTTTGTCGGTTCAGAGTCTCAGGAAGTTTGAAGATTTGCAGCGCAGCGTGAAAGAGGCCGCCCAGCACAAGATTGTCACTGAAGATGTGAAGAAAGCTGAAGGCCCGTCAGCGCCCAGCAGTCATTGAGAAAGCTTCGTTCGAGCATCCTTTTCAGTCGAATTCCACCAAACAGCAATTGAAGGCAAGAGTTGTGGGGCGCATTTCAGCCATCTCCAGGTGTGGTAGCGACAATGAATGAAGCTCTTGAAAAGCTGCAAGCGAACCGCTCCACAGATTTAGCGGCTTTGCAGGAGCTGTGCTGGAATAACCTTTTTCCCCAGATAGCGAAGCTATGGGGTTCTTACTTCAAATAACAATGAGTTGCCCGCGCGCGCTTTCGAGACAGGTTGCTGGTGCTGAGTGCGCGTGCTGGTGCTGGTGCTGTGAGCTGGCTGTGCACGTGGTGGAGACAAGTTGCTGGTGCCGGTGCTGGTGCTGGTGCTGGTGCTGAGTGCCGGTGTTGGTGCTGGTGCTGTGAGCTGGCTATGCACGTGGTGGAGACAGGTTGCTGGTGCTGGTGCGGGGTGCCGGTGCTGGTGTTGGTGCTGCCGGGCTGTCTGCGCAGGTGGTGGAGAGAGGTTGCTAGTGCTGGGTGGCGCGTGCCGGTGCTGGTGCTGTGAGCTGGCTGTGCACGTGGTGGAGACAGGTATATCTAAGGACATCTAAGGACGATTTTTATGTTTTGCATTGCTAGGATTCTTGGAGGGCTGTTGTCAATCTCATCGTCACCTCACCACCTACGGTGTATACAGTACTTGAAGCCACTCCTGCGTTTCCCTATGACTTCCCGACGAAGCAATGAAAAGGGCTCCGTCGGAAGGGGCAAGGATTAGAAGCATTGGTGGCCTTGTGCCGACTAGGTTGGTTGGTTTGTTTGGTCGGTAGATAGAGCTGGTAGAGGAGATATACCCAAGTGTGTCAAACAGATTCCTGTGTATTCTTTGGAGCTGCTGACATTGCAGGGTGCTGTCCAATTTATTTATGCATGTTTTTGCTATCTGGGGTCTATGCTGGTGTAATTTGTGTACTTGTGGGGGAAAATGCTTTCATTCCACTGGGCCGGGCCTACGTGCTTTGAGCTACTACTACTGCTACTATTACTGCTACCACTCCTCCTCTTACTCCTATTTCTACTCGTGCTGCTGCTGCTGCTGCTGCAAGCAGCGACAAAGCGCTTAGAAACGATTCAGCAGGCTTGGGTTTTGGCACTGCCCTTTTCAAACTTCAGTACTTACTCTACAAAGTTCTTCGAGCTTCTTCAGGAGAGCCTCCACGCTGCTCGGCAATTGGGACTTCAAGATCACGAAGTCTACAGCAAATCTGCTGAGCTTTTCAGCTCAAGCTGCGACTTGTTTGCTCTAAGCAACATCCTGTGCTTTAAGCACTTGAAACACTTCTTGTTTTGATAGTGGCTAGGGCTGGTAGGGGATCACCACGCGGGGATTGATGGTCTCATCACAGCTGAAAGAGGTATGCCTGACTTCCAGTGGGCGCTTGAGGAGCAACGGGAGATGTGGTTGGTGCTCTGCTTGCGTCGGCCCATGCCATCAGGTGCCAGATTCGGAACAGGTACACGAGTCAAGACTCAGTAGCAAAAATACAAAAGTGAATCGAGATGTTGAATGTTTTAGAGAAAGAATCAGCACCCTGTTCTGCATCTTTTGAGAGTGTTGACAAAAAAACGGTTGAATTTCAGCGGTTGAGCAGCATTCCTCACAACCGAAACATAGGCGGTGCTGCTCCTTCCCATCCCTTTGCGGTTTGCGCGGCGGAGCTTTGCCACGCGGCTCAGATCAGCCCTGAGGCTGAACCATATGCAGCACCTTGGAAGGTCAAAAGACTGCGAGACTCTTGAGGGAAGATGTCAACACAAGAACGAACAAAAAAAAGGACACAGCTAGTAACAATCTTAAGAAGCTACTAGTTACAAAGGGCATCGCTACTAGGAGCAAGGACGCTACTAGGAGCAAAGGATGCTATTAGGAACAGGTGCCTTACTAGTACTAACAAGAAGCTAGTAGTAACAGGTGCCACGCTACTAGTCTAAAGTAACAAATTTTAACAATTCCACAGGACGTCGTGACGTCGTGAGGTCTCTGATTCCACAATAGGTTCAGACCGTGTCGGGGGAAGTAGGGCGTCGAGCATGTTAGGGAAGCGTGTCAGGTGTAATAGTGATGCCCTTTGCTCCTAGTAGCTTCTTGCTCCTAGTAGCGATGCCCT